CCCCAAAACCCCAAAACCCCAAAACCCCAACATATATTCACAAATTGAACTCCTAATTTAGTTCAAAGTCTATAATGTTCCATTTTCTCTTCTCTGATTATCCTTTAGGAAATTATTTTCAAACCTAGACTCATCCACTGCAAATTTCACTGACAATTTTTTCTGCTTTTGAAGATCTAAAAGTAATCTAAACTATACCTGTAGATCTTGTCAAAATCGGTTGTATACCATCATTTGATGTAATATAGTCCACAGATGACCCTGTAGGCTCTTTTAACCCGTGATTGGTTGTATTATACTCTAGCAAGCCGCAGTTGCCTCTCCGTTCCTGCCTCATCCAATCTCTAAACACACTTTTTCTTGACTTGATATCCTCTTGACCTCAGTTCTCCAAACTTCTGTCCATCTGTTCTATAGAGAGAATAAATAATCTGTTCTACTCCAATAAATATGTTCGAGTAATAACTAATCGCACATATTTTATATGGTTTAAAATGGACAACTTTTTAAAACTCTTGGTATCCTTCTCTGGAACCTACAGATAATTTTGTTTATGTACTTTATGAATGAAAGTGCGGAAGAATAGGATCTTTGTTTGGGATCTTTAGGTGGGTTTTTGGGTGGGTTTTTGGGTTTAAATAGTTGGACGGCTGGCTTTGGTGTTGGTTGGTTTAGGACCAGCTTTTGGGTTTTGTATTAAGCTTGAGGAATCCTTCATAGATGCTTTATTTTGGTGACATTCTGGCTAGGCTATACAATATGAGCACTTTTACATAAGCATTCTCAACTTATTCAAAGCATCAAAGAGAACTCACTTCTTCAATTTCTTTTTGAACTTCCCCTTAATATGCCCCTTGAATTCTTGTTGTGACTTATCCTAAGCCTGATCTTTCTATTTTATACCTTAATATGTTCTTTTTCAATTACTGTTGATAAATTCTGGCCTAGTGCAAAGTCTTATTAGCCCCTATACATTATGAAGCCACTTACATTTAGCTTTCTCAAGAGAATTCATTCTTAAAATCTTGGAATAGCTTTTGCGAAGACTTCCTACTGTCTGAGGTCTGTAGAGGCATGGAACCCAGTGTTTTTCTAACCGACCTAGGAGTTAATAAACAATTAATTTTGAAAATTTTAAGTTCTTTTTGTCTTTCCTTCTTATTTATATGTTCCAGATTGTAATCAGTCTCTTTCTCGAGACATACAAGAAGAGTACTAAACAAATAATCCTTATAGCTGAATGGGCAGTGATTCTAATTTCTAAATCCCTGACTATGCCCAGGCCACAAAGGAGTTATCTCTCGCACTCTAGTCTAAAGCCCTAGTGCTGCAGCTGAAGGAGCCAAAATTGCAATATCGAAAAATCTTAAGGAACAAGACAGTTTTGGATCATTAAGACAGGCTTACTTTTCTTCGAAGGAGAGTTATCGAAAGTACTTTGGTACGGATCTTCACTCGAAGCTATTACATTACTCATCCATAACTCTTGTGACCTGTTTAAGCTTTCCTTCTGCTTTCTCAGAGCCTTATTTTGACTATTGGAAGTTAGATTATAGCATGATTGGTTGAGAAAAGACTAGAAATATTATGTGTTATTCTTAAGATTTGAATAATTTAGAAAACTCTAGTTTCTTTAATTGTCCATTTTAATTCGTTTAGTTACCTCTTTTCTTCTCTTAAACAAATTTTTATGAGTAGGATTGTTCCCCAAATAGAAGAGTTTCATTCCAAAGTTGTCTAAATGAATATTACACATTGAGGGAAGTTATAAAAGTAGAGCAGTTATTGAAGAATAAAGAAATATTAGAAATAATAATACCAATTCTTAGAACAGCTTTCTAATAATTTAATGAATAAAATTCAGAAATTGAACAATATATATTAATTGATAATGTTACCTTCGTTTCTGTGAAGTTTAACTCTCTGTCTTGGCTTTTTATCCTTATTGGGTCACCTTGGACCTTTCCGTGACATATTGGTATAATATTTATAATCAATTTTCTGGTTAAGAATTGGGGTTTTGGGGTTTTGGGGTTTTGGGGTTTTGGGGTTTTGGGGTTTTGGGG